TAAGAATATGTGGGAGAAAACATAAAGATATTTATATGAGGGGAGGTTTGGGGATACCCAAGTTGTCCAAAAAACCTCGGTGATCAGCAATTATAATAGTATTTAATAGTACCTAATGGTACCCTATAGTACCTAATAGTGCTTAATGGTACCCAATAGTACCTAATAGTGCTTAATGGTACCCAATAGTACCTATTAGTACCTAGAGTACACAACAGTACCTAACAGTACTCAATAGTACCCGACAGTATCCGACCGTATCCGATAGTATCTGACAGTATCTGACACTACCTAATAGTACTAATGATACTAGTATCGGCCAAAGTTAAATAAATTGCTCCTAAGTACTGATACCGCATCAGAGAGTAGATCAATATTAAAAGAAACCATTCAGGTATAACTTACTAGAAACTATAATTTACTTGCAGAGAACTGTGATTGTAGAGTCCGTGTTTCGATAACAACGAAGTTACGTCGTATTCAAAATACAATAGGAACTTCGATGATCTTTCAATAATCCGTAACATCTCATTTCACTGTCTTTCACAGATTTGCGTGTACTACGAACACAGAAAATTTGGTATCGTAAAAACATTCGCATAATATCAATGTAGACGTTCGATAATTTCCTACAATGTTTACGATCGTCATATCCGAAACGATGAATTTATCGTTAAATTATCAACAAATCGGGCACTCTCTATCTGCAAATTACGTTTCTAAAGTGGAGCCACCAGAGAGGTGTTATAAAAATACATCCATGCAGTCCAAAACAAGTCTCAGTTATCGATGATAAGAGAGATGGATCGGAGATAATGATGTTTCGTTCGATTCGCTGGTCAATTGTTTAGATCACGTATCAATTAGGTTTTTAGCGTGTTCCAAATTGTTGCGACCGTTATTTCCTTTTTTGTTTTCGTTTCTTACGCGTCGTTATCTCATCGATGATATAACTTCGATTCGAGTTTATCGTCGACGAAGCTAATTTTTTCTTGCGTTCGAGGAACTACTAACGATCGCGATAAGGAAAGGATCGGTTGCAAAGTTTCCGGCAGGTTATTGTGTCGACGTAGACTCGTGGGAACTTCGTCCTAGATCGTCCCTTATCTCTGCCTTTCGAAAGGTTACGAGGTACGTGGAACGCCATTAAAAATCGATCATGCTACACAATTTTCGATTCAAATACTCGGGAAATCATGAAATGAAAATTTATGGGAAATCGTTTCGATGAAGAAGGGGTTGAATTATTCCATTTCGTAGTCATTTAAAACGCATTTTGATCATTTTTAATAAGTAGAAGGTCACTGCGTGGCGTAACTATAAAACAACCCTAAATTTTTCCATGTTCATGTACTATGGTTAAAATAAAAATGAACTACTTTTTTTCTAGACAATATAATCTTTATCTAGAGAAACATAATTTCTCAATACGATTACAGACATGACATGGTTCGTTTTTATTTTGACCACAATATATAGTGCCAACATTGACCACAATATAACAATGCCAATATTTGTTAGTTACTCGAAGAATTCTCATTTCTGTAATACTGAATTAAAATTTACATTGACAAGTGGAAAGTATAGACCAAAAGTTTCATGGAGTATTGTCCAAATACAAATTCAAATTGCTCGAAGTACACAGTATCGCTATAAGATATTAAAAGTACACAAAGTATTATCAACTATATATGAGAATTGACAGTGTCTGTACACTGTCACCAAGAAGTCTGTTACAATTACACCAACTTAACGATCAAAAGCCCCTGGTCTATTTCCGACTTCCGTTTTATAATTAGGAGACAGTACCATTATTGTACCGGTGTAAGAATAATTTACAATGGCCTGCTTAACCATCTATTCGACGATCTACCGCCACTAAAACCAGTTTTACGAGGGCTGATGCCATATTCTCGGAAGATACTGTTTGCTCATCGTATTGTATCACGCTCCGAGCACGAACCGAGCAATCGTCAATATCATCACTCTCTTCCCACAAAACACCTTTCGTCAGTCGACTGTCGCATGTTTATTTCCTTCCCTTTTTTCAATTAACAAAACGCTACTGGGATAAAATTGTACAATAAGTTTGTGAACAATGTCAGTTGGTGTGATGTTCACCGAAAGATTTCATGAAATTGCGACGAGCATGATCCGATCGTGTTTAAGTTCAGACACTTTTAAACAAACACAACACATCGTCCGTAAAGTATGTGTTTATGATGTTTATGACGATATAAGCGTCATTGGACGGCGAACTTTATACATTTATGGCCAATTTCAGTTTGCGAAAGTAATCAAGTAATAAAAAAAAACGGTTGATAAATGTCGATTGAATGTTTTGTTTTATCTTTCGTGAAATGGGAGGTTTAATAGGGAGGCATGTGATTTATTGGAATAATGTATAGAGTGAGAGTTTGCGTGAACGTTCGCAATGTTTAATCGCCGTTTCGATCGACTGTTCAGTCTGTATACGATTTCGAAGTAGAATCGTCCCGTGTTTGGTCAGACAGGCACTCCCACTCGAGTGTTTCACGAATTACTTGAGCTTTCGCTGGTTCTAGGTATTAATTGTTTTCTATACCCAAAAGTTCGCTAATTTTATTGTTGTCCCTAGTAATTCCATTGTTTAATAAATGACTGTATTATACTTAATTCTATTGTATTATAAATAATTGTATTATGTATTTATAATACAAGACTTTAGAAGTTTTCGGAGTTTTCACTATTTTTGGTTGAGGCGCCTTAAAACCGTCTGTGTGCTATCTGGGCACTAATTCTATTACATTCTTAGCAATTCCGTTACTTTATAAATAACTTTATTATGTATTCATAATTGCAAAATTCTCAAGATTTCCCAAGCCTCTGCAATTTCTCTATATTAATCACAGTAAACAATGATTTCTCTTAAACCAAAAAGTCGCTAATTTTGCCGCATTCGTAATAATGTTTGCTCTCTAAAAATATCATTATCACGTTACCACGGAACATTCCAAAAAGCGTGAAGTAAACTACCGGTTCTTCAACCTCTCCAGGTGTTAAAAGATGGGTCGGTCCTGAATAATCAACGGAAAAGTTGGACGAATCCCGTCCATTCTGCGATGCGTTTAGACACTTATTATTCGGTGGAATCAAAGTCCAAATAGTTTCTCGGTTTTCCAGGCAGATTACGATTGTCCGTCGAGTGTGTGTACGTGTGTGTGTGTGTTCTATTACATATCCGCGATAGCCTTGCACAGCCGAGACCGGCTGTACCGTTATCGTTCAGAACGTTATTATCTCGCAGAATGAACTTTTTCTGTTTACGGTGATGCTGTTGTTAACGTGTGACGTACGTGTACATGTATCTTCGGCCACGAGACCCCGCAACAAGTTGCACCAAGTCCCTTGTATACAAAACAAGATTATCGGCCTGGGAACCGTCTAAGCCGATCCTTTATTAGCTCCCGTCGCCTTTGTTGTCTACAAACAGCACGTAGAACGCGAATTTATTTGATCGTAAAATCGACCGTGTTCTTGTTGATCCTATGGGATATTTGGGAATCCTATCAAGGAAATCTTCGAGACGTACGGCTGGATTTTACTAGGATAAAGGACGAAGTAGCAAGACATTAATATAATTTTCAGAGTACTTGATATTTATTGTTTTGATGTTCTTTTTTCGAGATATACAGTGAGAGTCAAAAGTGAGTATACACTTTGAAAATCTGGCATTCGTTTATATTTGTTTTTCGCAATTTAGAATCAAGTCTCAATTAGACACCAGACATACATTCGAGGAATGTTTTCAGCTTACACCCCCGATATAAGTAAAAATTCTCAGCGTTTGAGATTGACTACATTATTATTATTATCACTTGTATTATTATTACTATTGTATTTGTAAATATATACCCTCGACAGACCCTTGCCCCTACTCCAGCAGGCCCTTACGACCCCCATTTTCGTAATTTTCCACCCCCACGTCAACTTTCCTAAACGTATTTCCCTCAGATTTCCACAAACACACTTCCGAACCACCGAACACAACGTACCTTAATAAATACGAAACATGGACATCCAACTGTTCCAAGACAGTCAACGAATATTCCACCTAAACCTCTACACCCGTGACTAGAACCCAGGAATACCATTCAGGAAACCACCTGCCTAATCATACTCAACGTCACATCTGGTATTAACATTTAAGATTCATAATAAACGTACCACTTGCCATAAGAATGGAATTCCATTGCATCTAGGCAAATATTAAACAATAGAATAATTTTTAAAAACGAAGTCCTAAAAGGGATCAGATGGCAAGGAGTTAAGAAACCACCAAAAAAATCGACCTAGTCTCGAAAAAAGAAGTAACCAATGAAAATCGGTCGAAACGACGATACGCGATCCGTTATCGGTCCGCGTCTAATCTTCGCGGCGTTATGTTTCGGAACCATCCAGCGTCGAAGACTCCCGCGCAGAAGCAATGGGCGGCCCCCGTTTGTCGGACGATGCGCGCCAGAGACGAGAGAGACACACAGGCCGCCCGCTATCATCGGCCGAAGGACGTAGGTGGTTCGCGGAGCCGCGCCGAATCCATTCGGATTTAGTTAATGTCCGGCGGTCCGTGGACACGGATGTCGCGTAGTCGGTTGCTGGGAGCCATGACGGAGAAACATTCGTGCAGTTAACAAGTAGTACACATATCATACATCATCTGTTCCTTGAACCGTGGCCTGAGCCGTGTGAACCCCGCCGAACATACGATCGATAATACTGGATAGAAAACGGAACCGGAAGCTGGTACAAGGGATCTCTTGCATCCGTCTCCTTCCATACGGTGACCGTGGATCATTTTCTTCGATAAAAAGTAGTAACTCGTTAAAATTCACCTGGAAACTCACGAATCGTACGTCGATCGTTTGTTTCATGACCTTTGTTGGGTCGATCGATTTTGGTCGAGAATCGTTTAACGATCAAACGTGGTTTGTGTAGACACACACGTGAATAAGGTCGAAGGAATTTGTTTAATCGATCATTCGACGATTTCACGGAGGGTTTTTGATCGACGATTCGGTGGATCTGTTTTGATCTAGTCGCCCGTCACCGGTGTGAATCGCGATCCACGTGGACGTTTCGCGGCCTTTTGTGGAGAGTGTAGGATCTTTAGATTTACGGTTTTTTTTTTGTGGATCGAATGGGCGATTGTTATTTATGAGACAGGGAGAACTGAGGGTAGAGAGGACGGGTGTCTCTCGTTGGGCGATCGGGGGATCGTGATCGGTGGATCTTCAGCTGGAGGTAAGTCGGTTTTCGATGTTTTCGTGGCGCGGAGACGCTCCTTGGGCTGTTGCTTCGGTGAGAGATAATGAACGAGGGCAGGAATTCTGGGGTGTGTGTAATTGGAGGATGACGAGTAGGGATTATTGGAAAGGAAGGAATTTGTGTGGAGCTGAATGGTATATTGTTCGGAAAGATGACCTTTGCAAGGGATTCTTGGGTCACCTTTGAGGATATTGTCTTTTGTGTTGCTCGAAATAATGAGAAAACGGATGTTTTGTGGGTATTGAAATTAATAATAATTGTTAGGCGCGTTTAGACATAAATTATTAACTAGTCTTGAATAAAAATAATTGTTCTATATGCACTAGTTTTTGAAATGAAAAAACTGAGTTTAAAGTTTACGAAGTTTAATATTATCGAAGCAGAGAATTAGTGAAATAATCAAACTCACTATAATATCATATATTGAATAGCTATTTATTACAATATTAATATCAACATAAATTTTTAATTGTTATTAATATTTGGAGATACAACCATTTGGAGAAAATAACTTTCGAAGTTTCAAGGTTCGAACTTTAAAAAATATTTGTTGTTTTCTAGGTTGAATTTTCTTTATATTATGGTGAATTTATATTCATTGGACCAATGAGACGCACGTAGATTGATTAACTAAATTTTTTTTTAAAAATCTAGTTAGTACAGATAAGAACTCGGGCGACGAATTATTATATTTTTACCATTATTACTGTTTTTATTTTTATTTTTATTATTTTAACGGGAAACTCTTTGGTACATGGATAGGATTACTATTTCGATTGTATTGATACTAGTCGATACTATTCGATTATATTGAGTCTCAGAAAAATATTCTATACATCGAGAAAACTCCAAGGAGTCTGCCTTTCTAATATTTTTACAAAGTCCCTTCGTTCATTATCTCCAAGTAGTGGATCCTCTAATTATTTTGAATCGCACAGAATCTACCATAATGGAACTCGTTAAAAAAAAACTGGTCTTCCGGATATTAAAAAATTCTTTCATTTCACGGACAGCGTTTATTTGCACGGCAACCAATTAGCGACGTTTGAAGCATTTTTTTTCGAAGTCGTACGATCCACATCGATATTTTTTTGTCTAAACTGTTCCCTGTCCATTTTCATCGCGAAAACTCCAAAAGGGTGCCCCTTTAAAAACGAAAAACACGATACAAGAAAGAAATACAATGTTTTGTTTTCGATTCGAGAATTCTCATCATCGTAAAAAATGATTTGTCGCGCCGTGAAATTTTGCAATTCCATAAAGCTTTGTTTCCAATTCCGTGACAGACAGATGCATCGACATCTCGTCTCGAAGGAAACTCGGCGGATTTACGAAGCGAGTCGGGGACTTATCTCGCTTCGAAATAGGAAATCGAATATTTCGAACGATTCCTTTGAGATATCTGACAGGTTTAACGAAGTTTTCGCTGCGATAACTCAAAGAATCCAATCAAAACGAAATACAGTGGCGAGAAGAAACGTATTTATTAACACTTGCTGTCGATTAATAATACTGTTTTCGGTGTGTTTCAAGAAAGACATACAGCTTCCAGTCGTATACTCTCGATCACCACATATAAATATTAAATTCTATTTGAATATCTCTGTTTTTTTATTGAAGAATTGTCAATTCAAAAAAAAGTGTTTTTGTCACTTGGAAATAAATTCCCCAAGATGTGGTACTTTTTAACATCGAACTGGTGTTTGACCCTTTAGAAATATCTTTTCGATTCTACGAGTGAAAATTGTGGAGGACGTTGAAAGATAATTACAAATGTAAGTGAAGCAATATTATAGATCCTAAAGTTTCATAAATACTGATTCTAATTTCGTGGAGAAATAGTGGATTTCTTATTGGTTTGCTTAACGTATTCACGTCAGACACATAACTCCAACCCCCACGATCCTTGACCTTTAAACCTCGAATTCCGAACGGAACTCGCGCTGAGTCCGCGATCGACATTACGATCGATTTCCTGTAAACTCGCGACGCTCGGGAGGTCGACCTTTCAAGGATCCTTCTTCGGTCCAAAGAGTTGGGTATTGTTCTCCAAACGATCGAGCAGATCTAGTAGGTAACGAAAGGACTATTAACCCCTTGCCCAATAATTTTCTTGATGTCTGCAGTCTCCAGAATTACTTTATCGTCAATAGTTCCCCAGAAACAAAAGAAATTCTTGTACTTATCGCAATTGTACATTTACCCTATAAGTAAAATATTAATATCGTCAAACTAGTATTGCACTTTGACTCAAAGAAAACGAATAATATTTATGTTTGTTGAATCTATTTTGACATCGTCGCCACGAGCCTCACTCGATGTTATAAGGCAAGGGGTTAATGAGTGTTGATACAAGAGATCGAAGAACAAACAGAAAATTTCATGATGGGAGTGAAGGATCGATCTTTTGGATATATCATCGGTAGAGAGTGAATTTTACGAATCCATAGAAACGTAATTAAAATAGAACTGTTAACGATCTTTTAAGTCGTTTTTGTTCTATTTTTTATTTACACTTGAGTTAATTTATTATTATTTTTCACTTGAGTCGTTGGTGGAGGTATTCAATTTCTATATAATACTTGTATGCAAAAAACATAATTCGTCAAAGTGTGAATTTAAAGTTTTTTTTCATCAGGAAGAAAATAGAGACTTTGAGTTCGATGAGATTTCAATTTTCATTTTAGTTTGACTATTTAACAGTGGATAGAATGGAATCTGTATCTACCTCATAAATTATTTGAATGAAGTATTATTGAAAACAAACATTTTATTTACAAAATAATCACTCCATTGACATCGCTGTATTGAAGCTGAAGGTATCAGTTCGAGCACCCATAGATAGTAACTACATATTAAAAATTGTTTTGTAAATATCTCGTTAACTGTTAGGTTTAGCACGTATGAAGGTCAACACATTTTTACTCAGAATTTGATACTTTATCGATCCATGGTCCAAAGAATAGGTCATTCCGTTACAAAAAATCAAGGTAACCTTGAAATCTCTGTTAATGCCTCCACCCACAAAAAAAGCACGTACCTTATAAGATGTGCCCCTTGATGCCATTTAAGTTCTACGGCTCAAAATTTTCATAAAGTGTACCGTTAAGTCATTATTCGAGGCGATCAAGTTAACTGAGACACACCTGCATATATCGAACCTGGGGAACGCGAATAATAACCAGAACGTGATAAAACAAAATACTTACCAAATATACGTTAATTGGTCATTTTTCACTCGTTCTACCAGTGTTAATGTGTTCAAAGAATTCCATTCCAATAAGACTTGCATCACTCTTTATTGTCTGTTCTACGATTAACACCTGTAGACAAGACGCGATCAGCATTTTCCGGACGTTATTACTCGTGGTCGTATTTTTATCAATTATCGCCAGACGATATTTATATTCTTCTACTCGGAAGTGTGTACTGGTGAGCTCATGAAAAAAAAATTTGCGGAACAGTTAACGCTGTAACGTTCACGACGACATTGTGCGCGCGATTAATATTCAAACGATATGAATGAAAACAGCGCCGTCAATCATCGCTGAATATCATGAAACGCATTCCAGGGGCAATTATTACGTTCGATAAACTGTCGAAGATAATGTTCAGACTTCGATCCAATTTCATTGGCACGTGCAGCTACGAGAAGTTTCAATATTTACATCCTTGTAATGAATTTCTTATCATTTGTTTTTCATATTGTATTTCATTTCTTATCTCGAATTCCTATATGTATACATATTTAATGAACATCTGCTGGTGCAAGTTTCAATTTTCTGCAGTCTAACAGAATATTTGTAGAAATTTTTCTATGTATACAGAGTGAACCAAAAGTCACCATATATCCATTTCAAAGCTTATTAAAGTGTCACTGAAGTATTCGAAAACCATTCTATGTTTAGTGACTTTTAACCCATAAAAAGTTTATCAGAATATTTGCAGAAATTTTATTATGTATAGGGTGGACCAAAAGTCATTATCTATTTCAAAGCTTATTGAAATGTAATTAGTTAATCATTCGATGGATAATGATTTTTGGCCCAACAGTGACTATTTGTCAAACACAAAAGATATTCACCTTTCTTATTGATTTCAATCTAAACTGGTCGTTTCTCTAACCAATAATGTCACGGCGTTGTAATGACAGCGCGATTATTAAATCAAAGCATAATCGAATTATCTTTCGAAACAGATAAACGTAATCTGATCGATTGATCCGTGTTATTTATTCCGTGAAATTTTACGTAAGAAGTGTCTTCTGTAAATTCGTAAGATATACTTTGATATAATTCAACGATTGTGATTAGACTGCCGATATTTATGCAAATTTATAATTTTTTACACTAATATAGAAAAAACAAAATTACATAGAAATTTCTTTTCTATACTGTGGATTTTAATATGATAATAATAATACATAAATAATATTAAATTTTATTGGAATCCTTATTTTGCTACATTTTGCAAGTCAGGGGACGTTATAAATGAATGAAAATCCGTAGTCTAATAATGATCCTACGTCGTTTATTATCGATCTTAAATCCACTGGATCCACACGCCCCGAAAGTACAGTAATCCATTGGTTTATCGAAACTTTAGGTAATTAGTAAGAAAATCTTTGAAATTCTCTTTTGTAACTGCAACACTAAGAACAGATTTCAATATCGTTAATTCATTGAAATAAAAATTGCGACTTAAATATTGTTTTAACGTAAAATTCTGTCCTAATGAATTAATAAAGGCTAGATGGACTACAGAACACACACAAAATTTTGACATTTTTTCGTGTCACAGTAAAAAAACGTTCTCTCTTCTACTTCCAACTTTCGTTCCAACTTTCCAACGTTCCAACTTTCCAACTTTCTAGGATCCTCCGTAACATTTTCTTTCCCCATTCGTCGCACGCCCATTGTCCACGTACTTACACCCCCAAACATTGACAACATTCTCATCGAGACCCTGAAAGTAGAAAGACTTTCGCGTCGCTAATTGGTAATCTAAAGCAACAGACCTGGCAAAGAAAAATCATTAAGATTGTCTCGAAGCTCCGACTGTACTGTGCTGTAACCACCAGCGAAATCTCGAGGACCAGTTTCCCCTTTGGATCGTTCGTCCATCGAGGAAAAAAAATCCGTCACAGCGATACGGCTCTTCTTTTTGTTTCCCTGGTTCCGTGTTGCCCTTGCAGGCGGCGTACTCGACTGGAAAAATTGTGTGGTTGATCGGACAGAGAGGAGAAGAGATCGAAAGCGACGGATAGCGTTTGGGGCGAGAATTTTAGGGATTATGGAACAAGGACGGGAGACGAAAATGACGAAAAGTTCCGCGGATTACGTTAAGGCCATCGAGAGCGGCGTTCAACCGACCCAGGTGACTGAACACCTTTTTTTTTTTAACGTGGAGGAAACTTTTTAGAAAAGAGATTCGAGCCCCTTGGAGGCAGGGTGGGGAGGATAGGATTTTTCTTCACTGAAACCTCCATACTGAAGGAATTTTAGTCATTTTTACCCAGTCTCTGGCATACTACAGTAAATCTTCGATGAGTGCTCAAAGACTTCTCGACATTGCACATTAAATAATTCATAAATTAATGACTATACATATGGTATATAATGGTAACGATTGCAAAAGTAAGGAATAATTTTTTATCGCAATGGAAGCAAGCCTTTATGCTAGTTGTATAGAATGTTATAAACGGAACAATGTTTTGCTGGTGGAAATTCGCACTATTGTGTGGTGTCTGAGGGTTAAATCGAAATCATTTCCATACCGATTTTGTAACTGTAACTTTATTATTCCGAATTTCATTTTTTTCGTGAAGATAGATAATTCTATGTAAAAACGGAAGTTGTTCATAAAATCAAACTTTAAATTACCTAAATTGAACTGGCGATGAAAGCTTATCGCGTACGTACGCGCGTGCACTCGAACGATATTTGAGTTGCGCGTCTGACCATTACCAGTCGGTTCTACTTATGGTAATGCGCGTGACTATTATCAATTGAAAAATTTATAGTACAGTTATACTTTACCTACACGCATAATGATATAACGCGATTAAAGATAACCAAAGAAATAAAAATTAAATTTTTAGGTTATAAAAATTACCAAAGAATTATTTCGTTGTATTTATGTGTAGATTACATGACATATAATGGTATACATGGCAGAATAACATTATTTTTTAGGAGAAAAATGTGTCAAATTGACACAAGGGATAAGGGTTAAGGAACATTTACAAATATTTTCACTTTGTCGTTTAAAATCGTTTAAAATCGTTATATTTTTCGTCCAGATATAATTACTTCGTACACTGCAGTTATGCGAAGCGTGACTAATCGGTTTGTGAGAGTGGAATTCGAGTAACAGGTGTGCGTTTCGATCGTCTCTGTGCAGGTAGTCGAGACAAAGGTGTACAGGAGACGATGGCTGATCCTGGTGATTTTCATCCTGTACAGTGCCAGCAACGCGATGCAATGGATCCAATACAGCATAATCGCAAACATCGTGATGGACTACTACAAAGTGTCCAGCTTTCTGGTGGACATGACCAGTATGATATTCATGATAACGTACATTCCATTCATATTTCCGGCGAGCTATCTCCTCGACAAATTCGTAAGTACGATCTATCGAATCTCGTTCTATCGACAGGTAATCAGATCCTTTTACGTAATCTCTGGACATTAATAATTCTAATCGCGGAAACGTTCGGACGTTCAAATATAGATCGTTATTGATAACAGCCGAGCCCGTGTCCACCTTCGATTATTCAGAAGTTCCCGGATATATAGTATCGATTTCAAAACAGACATTGGTGAACCCTCCTGATCGTTTATGACACGACTGGAAACATTTCGATGGCTGTGTTTGTTCTAGATCGATTACACGTGTGTCGTATTAGAGAGAAAATATTAATAAAAGTCGATGAAATAAACTTTCGGTTATTGTCGAGTAATGCTTGCAGAGGAATTTCCATTACAGTGTGCATTTTTATTTTATGAAAATTTATCCTGTTGTCTTTGATTGATTAGGTAAATTTTGTTGGTTTTCCTAGAAACCGTTTATTATTATTATATTTGTTGAATACATTAACTTTAATATATTTATACATATTAGTATTTGTTAGTATATCAGTTTTATGTTAGTATATTAGTCCTATATTAGTATAGATGTACTTACATAAAACTGTTATACTAACAAATACTAATATGTATAAATATATTAAAGTTAATGTATTTAATAAATCTTCTATATACTATAAGTATTTATTGACAGTTGCAATCTATCGATAATTGTCGACCGTGGGATTTGATAGTATTTCTTGATCGATTCAACATATTCGTTGCAAAATAATTATTAAATCAAATTAGCTTGTATCTCTCCAATCCGAATTATCAACGAACGCAGACATTTCTCGAAAGGAATGTTTACTCGTTGACAGACGATTAAAGATTGCCATAAACATCCATCTGGCGAGTTAACAAACTTTTGATCGCGCCAATCTAATCGAATTTTAACGTCTGTCTTCACACAAACGAAATCTTGTGGAACGTGTCGCACCTGCGTCAATGCTTACGTTCGAAGGCAGTTCGATAAGAGACAAGAAAATCAGCACTAAACAACAGATTGCATTCGATGTCCACAATGTCTCTCTAAACGAATTATCAAGAGCCATGACGTTCGAATCGAAACTTGAACTTTATTCCGTGTATTTGTTTTCTTCGATCATTGTTTACGTAACCGGTCCAATTAATCGGTCAACAAATTAATTCGATTAAATGCTCGAAAAGTTTTCTGTTTTGAGATTCGGAGAACCGCCTCGCGACAGATAGAGTCGTGATCAACGAATTAATGAATTGAACCGTTGGATATTATTGACTGAAGGAGACGATTCCATTAGGATTAATTACAGTAATCAAATAGTTGCTCCTTGTTTTTGATTACACTTTGTTCTGTTATATTCAATAATTTCTTCTTTTCAACCGTACAATTATAATTTATTTGGGACCTGATAGAACCCGTACTACAATAAACAAATTTTTATGATTCTAGTTTCCATAAATAAACCTTTAAAAATCGATATCTGCCTAAACATTCACTGTCTATTAATAAGTAATTACTTCGTCCCATATAAATCTATTTTCCCCCACTAGAATATCTTGAATTATCTTGAGACTCTCGATCGAAATATGCATAAATTTTCAAATCAAAGTCCACTTTTTTATTATAAGACATACCAAATGCCCACTGACTATGGGGCTTTTAAAGGCAAGAAATGTTCGTTTCAGGGGTTGAAATTTGCGGCGCTGGCCGGAGCGATCGGTAACACCCTGGGCGCGTGGATCAAGGTGTTCAGCGTGAATCAGGATCTGTTCTGGCTGACGTTCGTCGGGCAAACCGTGGTCGCCGTCAGCCAGACCTTCATACTGTCCGTTCCAGCCCGTCTGGCCGCCGTTTGGTTCGGTCCGGATCAGGTTAGCAGCGCGTGCAGCATCGGCGTTTTTGGAAATCAGGTCAGTCACTGCCTGCACCCCTCCTCTGAAACTTCTTCAATGAGCCTTTTTAGTGGCCCCAACCATTTTCCTTTCAGTTTCAGTACTCTCGTACCATTAACCCTTTGCACTACAAGCTTTTTTTATCATGGGAAACCAGCAACTCCGCAATATTTTTAAAGAAAAAATTTAAAAAACGATTATACATACTTAGATTGAAAATAATTTTTTTATTTGAACGTTTCATATAGTTTTAGATTTTGGAAATATGATATTTAAACCTCAAGCTCTATATTAATAATATATAATTAGTCGATACGGTTTAATACCATGATAAGGTGATGCTGATCAATTTCAGTAGACTAATACAGAAAGATATACTCTGGATGCTTACTTCTAGAGATACACTCTGGTGACCCGGTCATGGGACCCTAAGATTTAACATGCAGGATGGAATAGGTACAATAAAAATATAGCAAAAATATTGAATAAAATTGAGTTGTAAAAACCTTCATTTTTAACAAAATAGAATTTAATTGTTCATCGACTGGGGTCGTTGGTGACTCTGTCATAGAACTCTAGGGTTTAACATACAGGATGGAATAGGTTCAACAAAATTATACCGAAAGTATCGAATAAAATTGACTCGCAAGAAGCTTTGTTTTTCAAAGAATTGAATTTGAATCTAAAAGTTCATCGAATACGCGTAAATACATCTACCTCTCTACGTTACTATCTCTACTGACAAGATTGACGGCGAATAGCGACACTATCGCAGTTTATCGACGTAAAAATATGAACAGAAGCAACTGGGGTTCGTAACGGTAATTTTTTTAAGCGGTGTGATAGTCGAGTGCTCGCGTACCCGCCAGATCGAATTGAATTTCCTCGGAAACTAAGGTTTTTACGAGTAAAAAAATCTCATTCTAAATTCTCCGCTCGACCCTATATAACATACCATATACTTCATGAAATTTTAAGAACGTCAGAACGTGTGACGGGGTCTAAATAACTCCATCTGAAATATTTAAATCGACTGAAAGTGACCCCAATCGAGTTGCCACCGCGTTCACAAGACCAAAGTGCCAAACTTCACTTTTTGAATTTCTTTCTTTCAAATTTTAGGTGCCAAATTGCATTTACAATTGATGTTCAACCTTTTTGTATTTAAAATCAACTTACATAATTTCTGTCGAGTTAATTTCATTTCTCGAGTCAATCCACTTTGGCACATGAACGGGTTCAATTCGTGGCCCCTGAAGATACACTTTGGTCCACAGTTGGATACTATTTCGTTCGAATGACACATAATGCAAAGCAGCAATTATCTAACAGCGTCATCCTGACATTTAAACAGTTAATAACATAAAATGATAGTTCACCAAGTTTCTATACATTTATAACAAGTTTCTTCTTCTCTTTCGAAGAAGTATTATTTTATTATAAAAATTAGAATCTCCACATATTATCAATTAAACCAGCGAAGTACTTGTTTTTATTTTTTATTCGTTATTCGAAACGTTTTTTTTTTGTAATCCAGATACAATGAATTTGCCCATTTCTTTTGGTCCCTGCGTTCGCCAAATCCATCAATCACGAGCAGACAGAAATAACCGTCTCCGTTTAAATTGCGCCTGACCAGCGACAAATAATATAATTCAAGGGATGTCATCTGTCTCTATGAACGAGTGGATCCCCCCGGTCCACGCTCATGAACGTAAATGGGACTCGAGTGCACACTACCTGTCGGCGAAAATTTCTAATTCGAGAGACAGGGTCCTGCGCGCGAGTTTAAACCGGGTTGATCGGGTGATTATGTGGGAAACGGAGCCGAACGGTGCACCCACGTTTAATTTCGTGACGGGGGCTCGAACGCCCTCCCCCCAATCCAGCGAATTAAACGGCCATATTTCAGAGGCCGCTGCCATTACTGGTGACCCCGTCGTCCGTGTGATCCATTCGAGACGTAAATCCATCGTGATTCGTTTCATTTTCTGCTTCCTTTCTAGAAATTCAAACGCTCGAAGTTAATATTTTATATTAGAAATTATATAACAAATATTGTCGTTGAACACGATTCACTGTTGGACGAACAAATGGATGTTACTTCGATAGACTTTTTTAGAAGAGTGAAAGAACAGTTACGTATCTCGACCTTATCTTTCAATGAAATTCAGTTTCTTATTTATTTATGCAAGTATACGTTCCTCTGATGGTACCTCGATATCAGTAGGAAATATTCGTTTGCCAATGGAATCTCTGATTCAGTTACAGTGAGCTCCAGGTTTGGACCTCTGAAGCCAATAAAATTTGTTTCAGCCGCATATGGCCATTAATTTATGAAATATTTAATATTTAGTACCGAGGAGCCTTCGAACACTCATCGTGGATTTACTGTATTCTTGTAATGGGTGTTTGAATACGAGTTGCTCTATTCTACTTGGCACAATTTATAACTGATTCGTCTTTATTTAAGATATTGTTAACATTGAGATTCAAAGAGTTACCCACAGATTAACAATACAAAATAGCTTCTAACGTGAAACTATAAGTAATACTTTCAAGTTCCAATTAAAAGAGTTTTTGTAGCGAAACTTCCTTTATACCCAAGAAAGATTTATCATTTTACATTTTACTTTGCGGAATTTTCAATAAATAACTCAATAATGATTTATGGTCGTAATTATGAATAAAAATAGCTCTTTTCAATCATTTGACATACACTTTTGAATTATAGTGTATATCGAAATAGATTTGACATTCGATTTCATTTAAGGTCGATTTACAGTATCCTTCTACACCAGCACCATACGTTGTGTAATTGTGTAGAATAAAAATCAGTAGATGTATACGTGGTTTAATTCGAATAAAGGCGCGATTCGACTTTGAGATTGATTTGAAATCGACAAGTTGATTTAAAATAACAAGTGGCAGCTATCTGAATTGGCGTCGTTGCCTCGTTCATGATTGTTCGTACGTAAGCTCAAAGCCTGAAACCGCAGAGGCTATATAGGTTTATTAACCTTGTCGATTACGATACTTTCAGCGTGTTAGAGAACTTCGCCGAGGTTTCGAGAGCGGAACTCTCGTTGGAATCGGTCGTGATGGGCTGAAAAGAATAATTGATCTCTTACTTCCTTGAAGTAAGAGCGAGACCCATAATGCATGCTATACTGTCCTCGACCATTTCTCTTCAAATTTGCACAGATTACATAAAAATAAATTTATAAACATTAATAATTCTTCTTGACAAATATATTAATCCAGTTTTTAACACTAGAAATACCGACGATAACCGTGTTTCTATCGGATCGACAAACGGGACAAACTTTTAAAAACATACAAATTTATAAATTAACCAATTTCTTCACCTTCCTATTGCAATAAAGGTTGTAAAAGATCTGAGAAAATGGATGCTTATAACATTTTAATCATCGTTATAAGAATATACTCACCATTCATTTTGACTACATTGGTAGTTCTAGTGTTAATGTCAAGTTTGGAGAAAAATGAACTACGAATCATCGTTTATGTCTGTAGCTTTATACATTCTGTACAGATTGTGTAGATTATCATGCTGTTCATTCTGCAAACTTTAATCTTCATTACAACATAGACAGCGAATTTTCATGCAAAATAACTTTTTCTAAAGTAATAGATAAAGGCAAGAGTAAATGTACGAATTTCTTTTTTTTTCAAAAGTATCATATTAGGTTCAGAATAAAATGGAAAACCTAGTTGCATGTACTGAAAGTTTCGCCTCTATTGTATATTACAGAACCCTGTAGACTACAAATGCATAAAATCCGTAGTTTACTAATTACCCTTTGACTTGAATTTTTAAGTTAAATTAATTTTCGTTTTTCACAGTCAAGACCCTTTTGAACCATGGCAACCAACTCTTGGTACACCTATTATGTATTTTGTCACATCTATTCGGCCAAATGAAGCGTCCGAACCGATAATTTTATTTCAAACATTACGAAAAAATTTATCAGGAAAGGATGATAAAAGCCAAGATAACGAGAATACATAAAAATTTTATTCAATACTCACAAAGTACACGAAAGAATATATGTAATTTTTGTATATTTTCGAATTATGGGCAGTCACAGCTGTATGATTGACATACTCAAATAGCCATTTATTTCCCGTTGACTTAACGATACACGCGTCAATCAATTTTGGACGTAACAATAACTAAGGTTGAATGGATACTGTTAAGATAACGAAATAAAAGTATCAAGTAATGAACTCGTATTTACTTGTATCGATTCATCCCTAACAATAACGTGTTGAATAAATAATTCAGTCTGTATTTCTGCAATTGTTTTTATTTTTACTTCGCCTGAATGTGTGTAAATTTTGTTATTTTCTTTTTAATAATTTACAGTTGGGAATAGCCATTGGTTTCCTCTTTCCTCCGATGCTGGTTCCAAGCAGCAACGATCCATCGGTCATCGGTCGTGGACTCCAAATCATGTTCTACATCGTGGCAGCGTTCACCACGATGATCCTGATCATGATACTCCTCTGTACGTGATTTCTACGTAACTCGATTCTAAGCAGGACTTTTTGTTACGAAAATAACTATTTCAACTAATTATATGAGACGATCGGATGCCAACGTGACGAACTCCACGTTTTGAATTATTTCGGATTTTAGTTAATATTTTGTGCTTTTATAGTAAGCTATTCGGTTGCTTTTGACACGAAATAATTCTCTGAACTCACCCGAATAAAATAATACAAATTATTATTATATTATTTAAAGCGACTATATTAACCAAAAAAAATTGTGTCTAATAAAAAGGCAATTACAATAGCTACAACTTATGTTCTGAATGTTTTTGTCTAAAATTTATTAGTGGTGCTCCATAAATTTAGTTTAGCTAGATTTGTAAAATACCACACTGTGCATCGGTCGCCATATGGTTGATACGATTTTAATGAACTAATCGACTCTGTACACGTTTATTGCAGTCTTCAAGTCTGAACCACCGCTGCCACCGAGCCCAGCCCAGGCGGTGCAACGTGAAGCGGAGTCCACGGAAAGTTTCTTCCAGTCTGTAAAAAAGCTAGTCACAAACGTCGGTTACTTGTTGCTTCTGCTCAGCTACGGTATCAACGTCGGTATTTTCTACGCGATCAGCACCCTACTGAATCACATCGTTCTCCAATATTTCCCGGTGAGCATCAATCTTACTCCTCTCTACAGGAGACGAATGTTTATTAATCAAATTCGGTTCATCGTTACTTGAATGAAATGATAATTGTAAATGGCGAACGGAGAACAAATTCCCAGGTGAGTCCCACGTGCCTTTAATCACGCTGTGGTTCGTAATATTGAGGTCAAAATTACCATTCGTCTCTCGTTTTGTATCATCTTCTTTTTATTTATTAACGATACATTGTCGAATAAGAGAGTAATAATCAGTGACGAATTGCTTTCTATTTTTAGTAACTTATGAGATCAGTCAAATTGGAAATCTCTGAACTTCTTTGGTAACTGGTGATTGAATGTTGCATGAAAAATAATTCACGAAGTTCTTTAAATTTATTTATTTATTTATTTTAGGAGATAATTCTCATTAGAATACAAGAGAAAATTTTACGAATATTAAAATAAGTGAAACACATACATAACTAGAAAATACAAGAGAGAACAATAAAATGGTAACTGAAAGATTGTTCAGAGCCAGTAAATAAATCAAGATCTTCACGGAAAGAATTCTCTGTTTCCCAAATGCGATAAACTGGGATCAGAGATACTTAACATTAATCAATGTTAATTTCTTTTTCTAAATTAACAATCTGGGTTTGTTACAGCATCACGAGAAGGACGCCGGAAGAATAGGTCTAACTATTGTCTGCGCCGGAATGCTGGGATCGGTTGTGTGCGGCATTGTTCTCGACAAAACGCATAAATTCAAGTAAATATATGTTTCTTTGACACCCCATGACATTGTTGAAGTAGAACACTTAAAAATTGGAATTACATTTTTGCATTTTGTTCATGAGAAAACTACAAGCAGTCGTAGATAGCGTTTTTCAAAATTCCAACTAAATTAATTATTCTATACGATTATTGATCTGTTAATACGGTATAAACATTTTCACAGAGAAACAACGCTCGGGGTGTATCTTTTTTCGTTCCTGGGCATGATCATCTTCACGTTCACCCTCGACAGCAGTCAAATATACGTCATTTATGTGACGGCCGGTTTATTGGGGTAAGTGTTTAACATCATTGGAACGGTTCATTAAAACTCTAATAGAAATTGTCGCTATAAAGACTTCGTCTTATTTGAAGAGTGATTAACCCGGTAACTGCATTTGTCCACTACAGTAGAGGCCTACTTTATCACTTTAGTGACAGTATCTGGTACATTACTTGACAATCGGTAGTACGAGACTTCTTTAAATGCAAATTTTAAGCAAGAATTTAAATACATTTACATTCTTTGCAGTTATAAAGAGCACATCAAAGACAATCCTTAATCCAGTTTTATTAATTCAATGATTTCTTAATTTTATTTTAAACATAATGAATCTCTTCACAGAAAATATTAATTTCTATTCAATTATGGGTATCCATAAATCACTCTATAAAAAAACTGTACTACTGTAGATAATTTCTTCTTGAATCTAAACTTACTGAATGAACATCCCTGAACAAATGAATTTCGAGTTACTCGATATCCATAGATTCTTCATGACCGGCTATCTACCAGTGGGCTTTGAGTTCGCCGCGGAATTAACGTACCCCGAACCGGAAGGAACGTCCGCCGGCCTTCTGAACGCGGTCTGCCAAGTGTTTGGTATTGTCTTCACGATCCTCTACGGCCACTTCTTTCACATCTGGGGCGATTTCTGGGCGAACATCGCTCTTTGCATCACCCTAGCACTCGGATCTTTCCTAACGACTATCATACCGAATGATCTACGACGGCAGAACGCTAAATTTTAAAACGATCCTCCGCTTCTATGATCCAATATGGCGACCATAGAAGTGTGAGGTTAGGAGGCGGGAACACATTTGCAAATTCTCTTCTCGATTCATTCGTGCTGGCGTCTGGAGTGTCGAAAGATGAATCTTGGGGAAGGAAGATGGACTGTTGGCAGTACTGCGAATGTTTAAATATCGAGATACTGTATTTTGCGTGAAAAGAGCGTATAGAGGCCTCGTTGGCTACTATTACTGTTATTATTATTCCGAATCGCAGTAGTATCCGTATCGTTTTTCTTTCGAAAGTTGAAGATACTGTTGTTACTGTTCAGATTTTATGAATATATAAGCTGTGTTGCTTTGGAATAACTATCCAAACGATTCAACAATGTAGCTAGTCGATGAGATGAATGTCTCTTGTTGGCGAAAATTGAACCAACGTGCCGTGTCAGTCAAACCTGCGCAGCCAAATTTTGTCCAATGTCTGTTATAAGCTTTTTTAACCACAATGACTACAAATTTGATGCAGGATCTGCAATGAACAATTTGCGCGTAGATTGTCGGCTGATCCTGCAACATAAGGTTATGAATTGACTTAAGTTAGTTAACCTAGATTATGTTGCAACATCTGCCGCCAATTTGTCTCAAATCTGCTTCACGATTCTGTCAGCAGGTTCAGCCTGCAAAACCAAAGCCAAATCCGGAAGCAGATGGTTATGGATATCTAGACAAATATCATCACTATCTGCTGCCAATCTGCACGCAAATGGTTATTTGGGTGTAAACAGGATACACTTTGATAGTGAATGGTACACTAGTATCAAGTACGTTATTTGTCTTTTAAGGAAGGCAACTGCGATGCTAATGAAACGTTTAGGATAGTACGTATGCCCAGGAGGATATAGTTCACACACGAAAACCTGGCAACTGTATGTATGACACTGGACCATGAATGCCTCAAATTTCGGATGAAGACAATAATAGTACCTTCATATTTATACAGTAGGTCATCGTTGAAGATCTGAAATCGCGTGGAGTATTTTACGAGGGAACTCTTGTAGCTAAGCGTACTGCTGTGAGTACAAGTTAGGTTAGGATCAGAAACTGTGTGAGGGTAGTCTTTCGTGGAACCATGAACGGAACAGAAACGGTGATATTGATGATAATAATGTTCTTAGTCCTTAAGTTCTTTCGAAATGTTTCGAGATGCTGTGCATCGGCTAATTATAAGTAAAAGAAGCGTTTGGGCGTTCAATAAATTGATGTACATTTACCAACAAAAGTCAAGGAAGAAAGCAATTAACCAGAGAAACTGTAATATTTTTTTTTTGTCGTTTGGTTATGGAAACACTTAAATGAAATGGAACGTATATATGCTGTGTATATTGAAAAACATAAAAACATGCGAAATCAACATTAATTATGCATAATTACCAGTCTGAGATATAATGTTCAAATTTATGATCATCGTGGACAGTACACGTTTGAACTTTTGTTGGTGAGCGTACACAATAATTTTCATACAGTCGGTTGTACTGGCGATCCCAGATGCTCGAAGAGACTAGAGAGTCTAAATAGTTGTCGGAAACGATAGGTGCTTCCTCGTTCTTATTTATCCGTGAGTATTGTCGGGCGTACAAATGTATGTGAATAAGATACGAAACGAATGTGTAATGTTAAATGTACCAAGTCACTATTTTCTTTTTTATAATATTCCGTACTTGCTTCGAAATAACTCCAACATACTGCCGGCACAATAGTCACTCGTTATTTGCCTTCATTAATCAACGTCATTCTGATCAAACGCAGAAACAAACGATGATATTTCCGTAATGGAAAAAAACTATGTACTGCTATTTTCTACTTGTTGCTACATCCAATATATAGTTTCAGAAGTGTATTTAGTTGAATCAAACGTGTCGGAATTAACAGGTAGGAGGCTCGATTTTAGAATTCGAGAACTTTAAGATTATGAAGGTCAATATTCTTGAATTTCATAAATTTATGTCGATTTCTATGGAAATCGACGATCTATGGATGCAGTATATCGATTAGAGCAGCTTGTGTAATTTTATAAAAAAGGAAAAGAAAGACTGTTATTAAGTTCGAGGAAAAAAGTGAGCGAGGTCGTGGACGAGATTAAGTTCAAAGGATGACGTAACGTGCTTTGTTCCTCGGTTGTGTTAATGGGGTGGGCGGGAGCGTTTAATGGTCCACTTTTGGTCGAACGATTTTCAATAATTCGATGACCCGGAAACTTCTGAAATATGCGAACACTTTCCCCTAATGCAGCAGGAAAAATTTATCGTGTCCTCGACGTACACGAAGACCAATTTAGGAAGAGATTATTAGAACTTTCTTAGCCCGCCGCAAACTTTGCTTTCCGTTCGCCGATAGATGTTAGGTTGAATCATAAATGACTTCCGTTTTTCTTCTTCAAATTTACATGTACAAGCTATATGAAAGAGATAAGTATCCCAGATTAACTCATAAGGATGAAGTTTTAGCAAAGAATGTTTGACACAAAAGTTTTAGGGTTAAAAAAGAGGCATCTGATGGTGAGCTTGAACATGACATAGGGGCCAAATTTAGAGGTCATTGTGAGGACAATTCGATTTTTTAATAGTACTAGAGGTCATTTCGATCCAAGGATACGACCACATATCTAAACGTAAAATTTTCCGTTCTTTCCATTTCTGACGCTAAAAGTGGGGGTTCCCATTTAAAAAACTCGAATTGACCTCAAAATGACCTCTAAATTTGGCCCCTATACCATGATCAAGGTCACCGTCAGGTGCCTCTTTTTAAACCCTAAAACTTTTGAATCAAACATTTCCTGCTAAAACTTCATTCTTCCGAGTTAATCTGGGGTACTCATCTTTTTGGTACACTCTGTATATTGATCCAAAATATTCTGCAATTAATATCGTCATTTTTTTCATTGAACTTGATAATTGATACTCAATTCAATTATACTTATTATTAATATTATATATTAACTTTTCAATATCTACCATGGAAATCACTTTTGATTCGACATAATATCATTGTTCGACTGCCTAATTCAAATCGAATTCAACTCTTCGTTACAGATTTTTTTTTTCAACAACGAAATCATTGCCTCGATGATGCCGCTAACGTTTTTGTACACGTCGTGTTAAGTATTACCAACGAATTAAAATATTCTCGTAATCATTATGAAATATGAATTATATAAGTTATAAATTATTCTTACGGTTAGTTAGAAGCCAAGTGTCGAGCCACATAGAACAGTTTCGTGATGTACATCTGTGTATGTAAAGTGATTCCAAACGTTTGATCGGCACTGTAGTACATTAGAGAACAATGTTGCATCGAAACATTCCAAGTGTTTAGCAAAGTTTGTCGAACGAACTTTAATAAGAAGAGAAGGTGTTAATCAATGGAATTCACTGGATTTTAGTACCAGAACAGTGAACTCGTTATGAGAAGCTTCCAGAGGAATTCTAGGAATGTTAGTCAATTAATTGTTATAAAGTGAAACGAAGAAGGGCATGAACAGTTGAAAAGTTTACATATTATCGCGTGTATAGATATACTTATACATATATTTTCAGAGAATCGAGCGTTATATAACAATTCCACGATGTTGCGAGAACGATATAGTTGTCATATTTTGATGTAATATAAACAGTATCGTGATGTCTGTCTTTGTTGAAATTGTATTGTAAAATGATCTGCATAACGTTCCATGATCGTGTTAATGGAAAAAAGTGTTTCTTGATACAAAGATCTCGAGAGAACCAAGATGACCGCCATTTTGAATCCAGTTGAATGAAGATTGGTTTCCCATTGGAAGTGAAAAAAAGAAACGGTTGATGTGTTTGGATATTTAAACTTCGTGTGTAGAATGGAAATTCTAGTTATCATGGAGGATTACAGCTTATTTTACAGTCTCTTCTAAGTAATTTTGCTGTATCAGCAATTTGTTGTTCAAGGATATTTTTATTCATAGTTCTAAGTATTTCATTCTAAGTTCGATAAGTTGATTCATTCTAACTTGATCGTCGCTTTATCCTTTCCTGTCCCACCTCGAGTAGCATTTATCTTTGTTGTATTTCCACGATATCGATTGAATTATTCTTTGTTAGTGATCATTTTTATTTAGATAAAAAGGGAAAGAATAAAGCGAAAACTCGAATCAACCAACGACGTATCTATCGGTCTTCCGCACTTTTTAATTGTAAATTCCCAACGACATTTCTATTCTGCGTTCGTTTTGTATATAAAATGACGTAAATACAGCGTATTTTTCGTTTTCCCGTGAACACTTTGGCACGGGAATGTTACAGAGAATATCTATATCTGTGATTGTTGACAATAAATATATATCCGCGATTTAATGCTCGTGTCTAATGTGCATATATATCGATAAGAAGCTTCAAGGATTTGAAAATCTTAATGGTGTCTATATAATGTTGTTAGTATGTAGCAATGTTAGAAACGAACGGAGAAATAAACAGTGTTGATAAATACTTATGGAACAGTGTGGACCAAGTATTTAAGATGACGCATCTAAATACATAACAGAATATACCTCCCAATTCCTATTACTTTATTTCTTCTTAAAGAAATTTGTATAAATAAGTACAATAATAAGCACGTAATTAATATTTTTAATAAAAATGATATCTTAATTTATTCTTGTATCAACAACCTCGAAACTTGTGAAACTCATAGTCTCGGTTTATAAATTAATATCAATATTCTAAAAATTACATGAATTGGTAACGTATACGTAAGAGAACCCGTGTGGTGAGAACGTGGGGTCACAGAACCCCCACACGTGGCGCCAGTGACCCCGTGTGGTGGTGCGTGGGGTCATAGGGCCCCGGAGGAGACGACCGGACCCGTTTGGTGAGAGCGTGGGGTCATAGAGCCCCGGTGGAGACGACCGGGACCCCGGGTGTTGAGAGCGTGGGGTCACAGAACCCCCACAGGTGGCGCCAGTGACTCCGTGTGGTAGAGCGTGGGGTCATGGAGCTCCCGGTGGAGGCGCGAATCAGGGACCCCCACCCCGACTGACTCCCGGTTCAGCG